CAATCTGTATGGCTCTCGCTGTGCAAACCACAGCGACTCTGGAGCCCAAGAGAAAGCCAGCACAAAGGGCTAGTAACCATTAATGAGGAACAGTGAGCTAATGGCAATAAAGTCACTTCAAAGCTTTCCATGGGTTTTCAGTTTAGGCAAAGTAGGTTTACATCTAAACACAGACAGAATGCTTACAGAGAGAGCGTGCAGCTGCCTGGTCCCTTGGTGAGCTGAAAGCAGGGCTGTGCTGAACCCAGCCGTGAGCTGCACCTCCTCCATCTGCTGCTCTGCTTCCATCAGTGTGGTGGAATCAGCACTGCTCCATACGCAAAAGGAGTCAACACACAGCAGCTTGGTAAATAAAGGAATTGCTACCAACCTTGCCAGCAGCACAAAATAGTTTCAAGCTCGGATGAAAGAAATCCTCTTGGAGGATCTCGGAGTCAGATCATGTAACAGGATGCAAAAAACCATAAGAACAGCTAAAAAGGGGAAAGCTACCCAGAGCTCCAGGACTTAAAGGCGCTTGGTGGTAGAGACGATGGCGCAGAGCCCCAAAATGAGACATCTCTATTCTACCTATGACTCTGCTTCTGTGATCCCCAAAGGGGAGAGAACCCAGGCTGTTCAGTGACATAAAACACCAAGAAGAGTAAATGGAGTACTCTGAAAGTTAAAAGGTGAGGTACCAGCTTGTTTTTTACTCCACTTCAGACACAATTCCAATCCAAAATTCAATAACAAGAGGATTACCCACAATAAAGACATATTTTAGAGGTCAATCCTCTCCCAGACCTCCTTCCACTCCCGTTAAATTCCTCATCCAGAGCCTTAACATAACAAATTGAAAATGGATCAACATCTATTCAAAGACAGAAGCGGAAGTTCAAGGCTTCATGGCTTACCCTGCTGAAGGAACTCCAAGTCTTAATCAATAACAATATTTACAGAAGCTGAATGATCAACATGAGGTTGGAGTTTTTCTTTTTTTTTTTTTGACACAGCTGTTAAAAATCAAAACCACCAAGAAATTCAACTGAGCCCAAGAAAGAGGTAAGAACAGCTCTCTAGATGTATGTACACTTACTAAACTAGTCTGGAGTTGCCAAAAATCATCCTGTTTGCAGAAACACCCAGAGCAGCAGCATCCTTCCCCAGGGAGGTCTATTTAATCACTTCAGAAACCATTTCTTCCAGACAACAAAGAGCGATTAGATTACTTAATTAAAGCACTGATTATCTCCAACCCAAAACAACAGAATGCAGGATCTAAAATAGATTTACCCAGCCACCCTGGTCCTCATTATGCTTTGATTTCAATCAATTGCGCACACACACGTCAAGCAGAGGGCAATAAATTACAACCATGTGTTTGAAGAAATTATCTTCACGATATTGGAAGTGGAAAGCCAAAGCCCTAACTGAATGGTATGAGATATTAGGCTTCCATCTGGGAATAATAACCTGCTGAACAAAAACATACCGGGGCATTAGCTTCAGGCAGTGTCTGAGTTAAACCTGGCAGCAGGAGATCAAAATTAAAGTTGGTGGGGTTTTTGGGGGGGAAACTGACAAACATTTTGGTCAAACTGATAACTGAGAAATACACTTGCTGTGAGAGCAAAAAAATGAGTACGATTCCTCTTCAACCCAAGGAGATTTCCAGAAATAAAAGGTGAGCAGCCAAGTGATGTTTAGAGGAAATAACGTAGCACTGGTTAGGAAGCACTGAAGCTTCCACACCCCAGGAAAGCTTTTCTCAAGCTTTCACGATTTGAAATTACTTTGTGGGACTCTACAAGACTCCTCCAAAGTTGTTTTCACACTGCAGTCACCCCACGTGCTGCTCAATAAGCTTTGAGGGGCAAAACTCAAATGCACGTCACCAGCAAACAAACGTGCAGGGATTATTTCACACCGATTGTTAACAAATGCACCACAGGCTGCTCTCCTCAAACCACCCACACCAGCAGGTGTCAACCCTTGGGAAATGGCAGATCCATGCTGATGACTCATGAGATGTAGGTGGATACTTAACCACACCTGATTACAACAGAAATCTAGAAAGGAATGGTATGTGGGCCAAATGCAAGCGGCACGAGGAAAAGCTGAAACGAGCTGAGGTTTTGGAAGAGGCTCAACATGAACTCTGTGAGATATTATCACTTACTGTGCATGAAGGTAAAAAGGGAGATAATCCAGAGGAAGCTTGGAGTGCGTGCTGAGAGCTGAGTGGGAAAAGCACATATTCTCTAAAGTACTTATTTTTCTTTGGTAAGTAAACATCCTTCTCTTCCGCTCCCCCACTGGAATGGCTTCTCTAAGATGCATTTGAAAGCTGAGCACCATGCAGAGCAACATCTCAGAAACAAGTGCTTCCAATGTACTAATTTAGGCCAGGGTAGGAAATGCTTTATCCCTTTATTATGGCCAGTATTTTGTCTCAGGTGAGGTGAAGGTCATTCATCCTGACCTGCTCACACCCACCTGCAGGCTAACATCTAATGCCAGACAACCATGCATGCTGCAGATTGTTGGCTGACTTTGCTTTTGTTGTTGTTTTTAAACTTTGCTTCCTTGTGCAAAGGCTCTTCTGGTGCAATTAACACAAATTGCTTTGGCAGCCTGAACTCACCTCTGCACACAATCTTCCTTTTCCAGCCCTACAATCAACGACAAGCCCATACAGTGCAATGCCTTTCCACGAGTGCCTGGAGAAGTGCAAGCACAAGAGTCAGTGGGTCAGCCCAGCAGGGCTAAGAAACAAAGCCTCAAAGTGCTTTGAAACCACCTCCTAGCAGAAACATTCATTATAGGAAGTTCAAGCACACTGGGCCTGGTGTTCCCTGTGAATGAATGCCTAGAACCAAACCAGAAGGGCAGTGACACCTTGAATCGACAGCACTCAGACCTTTGCAGTGGAGATATACCATTAGTTTCCAGCTCCAGCAGACCATGGAAATGACATCACTGCAATTGCCATCTTCTTCCCACTACAAGCTTCCCTATGCTTTGGGCTCCCACATGATTTCAGCAGCTGTTATGCCAGTAATTGTTACAGCCATTCCCAACCTGACCTGCTGGCAGCAGAAGTGTGAAAGGCTGGCACTTGTTACCACCACCTCATTTTTTCCCCTCCAATCTCCAAGTAAAAATTAAGCTTTTGCTGTCGAAATACCAAATCCAATTGTTAAGGAAACTGCAGAGTCCAGCTACAAGAACAAAAGCACGTTTCTATCCAGACCTCTGTTGTAGGTAAAGCACAAATCACTTCCAATTTCAAGCATGAGGAACCCTTCAAGCGGTTGGGTTAAGTTTCCCTAACTTTGCAAATTCTTTCCAAAAATACTACAGTTTTTACACCACTCAGCAAAACATAAGCCACCCTTTTCCTCTTTTTCTGACACATTTTTGAGATCCTAACGTGCATCAAAGTGTGTTCTGCTGACTGATGCTCTTATCTAGTCTGTACTGCAAGCCATAATGCCTCAGTCATTTCTGGCTGATGCCACAAGAATGAAGTCTTTGTGAGCAATCCCTCCTGTATCCCTCTCACAATGTATTGCCTGCCAAACTTGGACTGGCTAACTGAAAGATGAAATTTGATAAAATCTTTCTTTTTACTTCCATACAATATATTAATGCTACTATTGTACCCCATGCCGAGAGGGATCAGCAGATTCACCGAGTCCGAGGGCAGGCTGTACTGAGCTTTCCTTTCTGCAAACTTCTTTAGAGGAGTTATTGTATCCAGCTGTGACTTCATGGTCAGTGATCACAGAGGGATTCGAACAATCTCTGCTCCAGAAAGCTACTCATTTTCACCTTACTGAACAAAAACCCCTACTCGTCTGGGTCCGTTCTGCACCTAAAGGGAAACTGCAAACCTCTCTTTGCTGCATATGCAGAAATGCAATCTTTCAGTGGATTCAGACACCTATAACAACTGTTACTAGAGATCAGATACCTTCACATATTGCAAGAAAAGTAGAATTTGGTATCTATAAGAGAAGACTCTATGTCTGGACAGGCAACACACCAAATCACATCTTAGAATGAGTAGAAAATCAGCAAGAATATATATATTTTTTTAAGCTGTCTTTGTTAGCACTAAAATGGTGTAAATTTCAAGTGACGTGTGATTAACTACATCTAAGTTATCTCCACCTGGATGCAACGTGAAGCAATGAATGCTGTTCACCTATTCCATGGTCACTAGGGATCTCCAGTGTGAGAGCATCCCACCTTTGGTAAAGGAGTACGTTTCTTTTGCTTTCCACACACCTTTGCTTTTTAGATTTAACATGACTGTTTCCATCCTATTGCTGCTTAGGAGACCACAGGCTGTACAGAAGACAGTTGTGGATGCAATGCAAGACAAGTGCATTCCCTCCTTTTAGCAAGACTGTTTAACTGACAAGTCACCTGGAAAAACTGCAACTGCAGCTTTGAAAGGATACAGCCTAATTACACTGTTCTCACACGTTTCCACTAGTTCCTTCCCTTCATATCTCTTTCACAAGACAAGGCCTGAAACACAATCATCTTTGCAGAAGTACACGACTCCCCACACCACTGCCACATTTCACAATCAACGCCTGCAATCTGACAAGATGTGCAAGCTTCTGCTGTAGAGGTAGATATCTGGAGAGAGTGCTGTCTTGAGGGAACAGAAAAAGCAGATGCTTTAGGACTGAACTTAGTTGAGATCAAAGAGAACAAAGTCATTTCAGGACAAAGATGCCATTAATCTATTCAAGAGATGAGAGAGCCAAGAAAGCACTTCAGCTTCTGCCGTTAGCATCAGCTGGCAAATTGGATCGTGCTTTCCCAACACGAAATCACAGGTGATGTGTTCCCAGCAGATCAGCTGCTGCCTACCCTTCTGCCTCCAGTATACACACGTATGCCACCCTCAGTGGCACTGCATTTCAGGCCAATATATGTACTGCATGCCTCCTGAAGGAAACAAAGGAAGTAGAGGGCTGTGTATGGTAGAACTGACATACAAGTCTCTATACTGGTCAAAGGCATTGTTGGCTTCCACCTCCAGCTTGCGCAGGCGAGCAGATGGCATGGCACCGTCTTCCAGGGGAGGATCATACTTGTTACTCCACGGTGATCTGCCAAGGAGACAAGGAAAGCAGAGAGTGAGACAACAGGGGAACTCAGAGAGGTCAGAGTGGTGGGTCTGACCTGTCCAACAATGGCGAGCATCCTTTGAGTTCATGCTATATAAATATATAAAACTACGCCTGGGTTTGCATCTGCTCCTTCTCAAGTATTCAAAGGTTCAACCTCAGCTGTTGCACATCAGGTATTTAAAATTATTTCCATGCAAATACAAATACATCATGCAGCTTGTTTGGCATCTGACAATATTCGAGCCAAACTTTGCCGTCTACAATTAAGGTCCAAATTCTCCTCCACTATTTTGCTTTCAAATAAACTCGTCTTTTAGCACAATGGTAGGAAAATGTTTGAACAATGCACAGGGTTTAACAGGGTCTGTAAAGCTACAGCTTTTATTGTACGATTTCTGCAGGTGTGGAAGAGATTTTGTGCTCCTAATGAAAGATTTGGTATTAAAAGATTAATGCTTGAGACTTTTATAACTCCCTTTCTGCACAGTTGCATTCTCCTCTTCATTTCCCCTGGGGATAACCAACCTACATATATCACTGCTAGTTTAAGAAAAGGTACCTCCACCTTTTGCCTACTCAGTTTTCAGAGTACTCCAGTGGACTAACACTAGGTCTTAATGCAGTCCATACGTAAGGGCTTTTTCCTCAGTACCCATTTGTTACTCATTTCTCAGACAAGTAACTCGTTTGGACATGTTTAATGCAAAGCACAAAGAACAGGCTCTGCTTCATGCTGCCCTCGTGCTTTCACAGCACTTCACCCCTCTCCTCCCGACCACATCTGAACAAATAGGTGAGAGATCAGGAAAAGCTAAATCACCATGTCACATCCACCCAGGGCAATGTTTTTCAGCTGGTGGTTCTCATTTTAAAATAGTTGCTTAAAACTCACTTGCTCTGAAGAAGACAGCTAACATTTATTTACCTAACAGCCCACTGAAATCCAGAAGAGATTTGCAGAAAAAAAAAAATCCCCCAAAAGGTAAGATTCCCAAATGGGACACACCTGCACCCATTGGGCAGCATGCTAAAAGCCAGCCTACACCAAAGAGACCCAGGTGGATGAGCAAAGAATCAGTGGTAAAGGCACAGTGGAAACACATGAAGTGCAAATTGCAAATGGCACCTGAAAATGAGATTTCTCTGCGTGAAGTAGAAGAACTTGAAGAAAATGTAACTGCAAATATTTAAAGGAGATTCTCAGAGAAACTGATGCAAGACTGAGATAAATGAGACTTGTGATACCAGATGCTTGTAAAAAGCTTCAGTCTCCCACTTCTGACACTGACTGGTTTGTGATCAGATCAGCAGCCCCTTCATGCTTTGTTTCCTTAAGTCAGACAGATGCTTATTTCCAAATATAAAAGACAAAGAGCTACTGAGTCTGTAGTGCAGGTATTGCTAGACTCAGGACTGCATTTACAGCCCAAAGATAACTAAGTTATCTAAGTTGACTGCAAATGTCAAGACAAGCTGAGAGGTGTACAAGGTGGAAGCTTCTGCATCCAAAATGGAGAGAAACAAGACAGTGGCACGATCTAGTCGGTGGCAACCACATCCACAGCAGGTGAGATGGAACCAGATGATACCAAATATCCCTTCCAACCCAAGCCATTCTCTGATTCCTTGCTCAGATCTCTTTTGCAGGCTGCTGGAATGGTGTTGAAGGGAAGGCCAGCAACTGAGTCTTTCTAGCAAGCGGACCGCAGCATTTTCAACCCATTATAGTTGGAGCCAGAAGCAGCTTCACCTAAAAAAATTCATAACACAACCCCATAATTTTTTTTTCTTTGTGGAAGAGTATTCACAATGCATTTAAAAGCTTTAATGGAGGCTATTTGAAGAAAGACAGATGGACAAGGGCACTTAAATTTCAAAAGTCAGACCTCTAATTTCCCTAAAAGAGAATGTTTTTTGTTTCAGTTAACAGGCTTCAGTGTTGTTGGCACCAAATTCCCCATAAGGATTCCATTTAATGGAGTGATCAAACATACTTTGAATGGGAATGTATGGACAAAGTCAGAGACCTTGAAGTCCTATATATTGAAGCAAAAAAAAAGAAAAAATAGGGTCTGCTTTCACAATGTGGATTCCACTGCCTTTTGATATGCTCCCAAACCTTCCTCTTATTACAGGAGCACTCATAGAATTGCCTGCAAGCATACATGCAGAAGAGGCTGATCACATAAGCAGCAGTGTGGTAATATGATGAAATGTGAAAGTACTGACATATGAAGATCCAAGAGAGACTCCAGGATGTACTTCATGGTCTGATCCATGCCAGCACAAAGAAAATCACATTCCTTAATACAAGGAAGGAGTCAACGGCGAGTGGCTCAGCAATTAGGATATTAATTTCCTTGAAGGATGCTCCCATGAAACATGTGAGGTTATCAGTCATCAGAATGGACAAACATCCCTGTTTTTTCTCAAAGCTGCCACCCAGTCCAACTGTAAAGCTGCTCAAAAAAGGCCTACAAAGCTCGATTCCCAGTGAGGAAGCTCCAGGCTTCCTGCAGAATTCACACAAGGCTCAGCTGTCCACAGAACATCTTCAAATCTTTGGATTTGTATTAAAAGAAATGCAATTAGTGAAGTCTCCAAGAGAAGAAAACTGAAGTTTAGTTCAAAGCATGCAGTAACTGGGGACGTAGCATTCTGCAGGTGACTGCAGCACTTCTTGTGACTTCTCACCCAGTGAGTGGGGTTCTGAAAACCTGTGTGGAAATATCAAAAGCTTTTGAAAGTACAAAACACTCCTCCTCGATTGGGGTCTAATTGATTACATTAGTGCAAGAGCCACTTCCCAGTAACAACTTCAGAATTTATGAGGTATGAATAGCATTATCTGAACACAGGCACCGACTGGATCAACACATGCACATGTTCACATTGCCTGGCTTTCAAAGGCTTTTGCTTTCTGTTGAAGGAAGGAATTTACTTTGTGAAACAGAGCTGAGGCCAATCAGTTCCAGAAGGGAGAATCGCTTTGATCCAGAACACTTGAACCAAAAGCCTCAGAGAAAGAACAGCATTCTCTAATGCCAACAATTTATACATTGTGGCTACTCACTACAAAGAAATAAAATACCTTTTCTGAAACCTCATGATGTAATAAGTCCTCCTGCTTCCCTGTTAGTCTTTAAGTATCTGAATAGGGATATAGTAGGGAAGAGACTGAATAAATTTCAGAGGCAAGCATGAAACTAACCTTAAAGAAAGGGCTTCCAAATGCAGTAATCAAACATGGAGTGCTGGGGAATGGGGAGGAGCAACTGTTATCAGTTATTGCAGCATGCTGCAATACAGTTTAACAAGTGCCTTTTCCATTTTTCTGAGCATCTGGTGGTAGATACTCATGTCAACAGTCTAACAAAGATCCCAAGAGACTGCTAGAAACACATCACAGCCTCAGGGAGAAAGCATCTCAAGAAATACATTATCTGTGGTATGCTCCGTCCTCTTGCACGTGCCATAAAGGATGAGCTGTGCACACACACCTTGTGGTGGCCTGGAGAAGATCTCAATGTTAGGATCGTACCTTTCAGAACATGAGCAGAAACTTCACCTTAGAGACTTGCTTACCTCTGGGCCCACTGCAATAGGGAATATACTTAAAAAAAGCTCTCTGTCATTTACAGTTGGCCACAACCCAGATGCACTGTCAAACTCCACATCCATTAGCAGTCTGCTCCTCACACTAACAGGGCAAGATGAATCTCAGTGTGTTCCCTGTATCAATCATCTACAGACAGATGTGCTTTCAGTTTAGTTAACTACCTTTCCTATGACTGAAACCAACTAAGTTGTAATCCTTCATAAACTTACCTGTGTCTGCAGTGATGGTCTGAGCCAAAGAAAAAGAAAAGTCAAAATATTTTGTGGAATTCCAACTTGGAACAGAATTCTTGAAACTTTCTGGCCAAATGAACATAAATCACCACCGCGAAGCAAAGGAAAGCTGAACTCTTACTGCAAAGCAGTTCCAATTGTTAGCACTACAAACATAAGCTATTACACCAAACCAGAAAGGGAGCACAGAATCTAAGCCTCTCATCGGAACCAGAAGAGGAGGTGGAACAGCTGAGCTGCTAACTCAGGACAGAAGATGGATGGTGTTCGTTACTTCCTGGTGTAGCAGCCTTTGTTAGGAGAAAAGAGCAAAAGCCAGGTGATGCAATACTCAAAAGGCTTCTGGATGAGCTTTGTAATTCTTTATCAAAATATTTGGAACTATGGCACCGATGCTACGGACATTAACAAAAGGCAGGCAATGGAGGAAGGAAAACAAATAGCTTTAAGCATTGGTTGCTGAAATATAATCATCCTAATGGCAAGGTATGGAAGAAAAGCATAAAAGGAGAGAGTGCGTTCAAAGTGGCTGCCAATATCCTGAATACTCATCGTATTATTACAGCTCTTTCCACTTTGAAATTTATTATAATTATCTAAAGCTCATATTGTTCAAATATTTTCATTGTCTTCGCCTACAGTTCTCAAAATAAGTTAGCTATTTTGGTAGAAAGGGATTCTTTTCCTTCACTGAAAGCTGGGGCCAAGATTGTCAATGAGAACTAATGACATTGCACATCCAAAATGAGAACAACCCCTTGAAAACACAACTGAAAGCAGCTTTCCCAGCTGGCAAGTCCACGCTGCTTTGTACAAACCAATAATTCTTTTACTTAAACTTGCTGCCTGAATCATCATTTTTCTCTGTTGTCAGCCATTCCAAACGTCTTACAACCTTGCAACAAGAGATGATTTAATTTCACACCACAGTTCTGGAGATCCAATTGGTTCCAAACCTCAAAGATAGAGCTGTGCTACAGGAAGCCTAAGAGGAACCCGTTAGTGTCAGCCCTTTAACAGGATAACATCAGATTTTAGGCTTGAGTGAATGACTACAGATCTTGGTACAGAAAACACACAAAGTCCTGGGGTTTCTAGGATAAAACATATCTTGTTTCTGAGATGGACAGACAGGGACCTGAGCTGCTAAGGTCATCAGATTAGAGGCTATACAACCACGTTGTCTGAAAGCAAAGCATTCTACAGTTGTCAGGATTTGAAACAGTACCAGGCTTATCACCAAGATGAGTTTAATACAGTTTAATATCATTTAAATTTCCCTTTTTTGGATCAGGATAAGAGGGAGAAGGGATTTCAATACTCTGATGCAGAAAGTGAACCAGTTAGCTCATTTCTTGGGATAGGAACTCACCTATATGAGTCTCCATCTCTGTTGTAGTCACACAATAGATAGTCTTTTCCTACCACCTTATCTCGTGCAATCTTCAATGGCTGATCAACAGAAGAGAGGAGATCTTCACAGAGGCTTGGGACCTGATTGTGGAGAAAAAATACAGAGAGAAAGTAATGAGATTAAAATTAGAAGAGCGTGGTATTCTTAAGAACAGCTTTTGCTATTAACAGCCCACCTCCAATAATTTCAGATTTAATTACCTAACCACTGGTGTGGTCCAGTGTGCTTAAATATACACAGCCTGAATGTTAGCTACTTGCCAAGGACGGCCAGTAAAGCAATTGTGGAGGACTGATGAATCAAGGTAAATATTTATAATGGAGTGGAAAGCAGAGAGCTGCTAAAAGAACACGCCATCCGTATGCACTAATGTATTTTTCACAAACTCCCTCTCTGGGTACAGTTTAGAACAGTTTCCAGGCAGCTGGCCAACCATTACCATGCTGGTTAATAAAATATGTGCATGTATGCACACACACTTGTGTAAAACCAATCCATCTCCTAACACAGGCATCAGTATTCCTGCACCAAGGATCACAGCAAAGCCCCTCACCCCCCTCCTCTGGGTGCCCACTAAAGTCTTTTTCATGAGAGGATCCCTCGGGTAGAAAAGAATGAGGAACACACAGCAGAGGGAGGACTTTGATTCAAGCATCACTGCAAAACACTCAGATGCCACAGAGGGATGCGGAGCACTAAGCCTTGTTGTTCCAAACCCACTGACCCCAAACAAGCAGGGATGACTGCACCGCCCCCATCTGCAAAAGACAAATCTGAGATCCAAGATCACCAACTAAAAACCCCTCAGGAAAAAAAGAAAAAACCTGCAAATTCCCATTTAAAGTTCTATTCAATCCTTACAGAACTCCACGAATTCTCACGCCCAAGACCAAAAAAAAATAAATTAAATTAAATAAATCACACAGCCAAATAAAGTCAGGTTGTTATTGAGAGGTGCTCAGAGGTCGCTGGGATGATTCTGCTTGTGCTGTTACAGCTGCAGGCTTTTTGCCACATTTACCCCCTGAAGCCCCTGTTTTCATAAAGTAATATTAAGGATTTATTATTAAATTCCAAAAATTCCATGCAGAACACCAACAAGTGCCACTCCTGGAGATCCCAGCCGTGCTGAGGGTGTTGTTGTGCTGCTTACTGGGACAGCACAGGCTCTCTGTGACCAGAAGGAACCCTTGGCACATTAATTACATCTTGAAAACAATGAATTTCATTTCCATGTAGTAATGATGAACTAAACTCCTCCCTGGATGATTCAGTAACAGAAATGTGCATAAGCTCAGACACTTTTTTAGTCTGTATGAGCTGTAGCTGGTCTTAGAGGAATAGCAGAGAATGCCTTGCAGCATCTACTTACTAAACTAAAATATTGTACTATAATTCAGTACCATTTTGCAGTCATATTTCTAACCACTCACTCTCTCTTTGCTCCAGGATTTCAGGCAATATATTCTCTTCTCCTTCACTTTGTTTCAGAATGAAATGGGGAAGAAAACCCCAATCCACTTTGGAAGAATATGAGAATTTCCTTCATTCGTAGAAGAATTGAGCTGTTTCAACTGATGGAGCTGCTTATGCAATTTCAGTTTTGGAAAAAAACATCCAAGGTTGGCATAGCTACCCTCAGAGAATTTCTGTATCACTTCTTGCATCAACTTCCAACAGCTGCTGCACTTCCTTTGTAAGAGATTCACCAGATTTATGCACACTGGTCTTCCTCTTCTGCGTAATGAAGCCACTTAAAAAGCAAAAGCAGGAAGTCAACACAGTAATCTGCAGCTTTAAAGACCCCAGCAACACAAAATTTGTTGATTCCTTCTGAATTTCCTTTTTAAAACAGGCAATGATAAAATATTTGGGGCTGAGCAAGCACTACTACACAGGCACTGAGCAGCTCTTGTACACGACATACGCACCTCTCCTTAAGTCTTCCCCAAGCCAAGCACCAAACTTCCTTCCTGAAGCAATTCAGTTACTTTGTGTGCACTTAAACCCTGATGGAATTCAGTTCATACTTAGTGAGAAAGCTTCCAAATCTGAACTGAAGGCAGTTCTGCCTGAAAGCCCAGCTGACCTGCTGTCATTCAAATGTTCCAGGCAAGTACATTAGCACTGTGACCTTCTCTCATTAGCTTTTACTGCGTTACTGGGAAAGCCAAAAGGCATTGGGTGCCTGTAAGTGCATCTGTCTCCAATAGTCATCAGAAAGGGAACTCAGGCTTGCATTCAAAACAGCACGAATAAACCCACTTCTCAGGCCAAATCCTGAAATGTAAAGCAGTGATTTCACAGAATCACAGAATGGCCAGGGTTGGAAGGGACCTCAAGGATCACGAATCTCCAACCCCCTGCCACACGTAGGGCCACCAACCTCCACATTTCATACCAGCCCAGGCTGCCCAGGGCCCCATCCAACCTGGCCTTGAACACCTCCAGGGATGGACGGGGCATCACAGCCTCTCTGGGCAGCTGTTCCAGCACCTCACCACTCTCATAGGAAAGAACTTCACCCTGACATCCAACCTAAGCCTTCCCTCCTTCAGCTTTAAGCCATTTTTCCTTTTCCTGCTGTTACCTACCCTTTCAAAGAGTTGATTTGATTCACCACCCCACTGTAAGTTTAGTTTCTGCTATGAAAACACTGGATGTACGGGGATGGGATTGATTCATAAGCAAAGAGCGTGCTCCCATCTTCATCCTGACACCCACTTATCCCGTTTTAAGCAGGTCACGTGCAGAATATAATCTTAGCCTTGTATCTTGAGCTAAAAGCCATCATTAATTCTATTCAGTCCATGGCACACCACAGGTAAGAGCTCAATACCTATTCCGGAGCTCGTATGCACAGCCATGGAGCAAGACCACCCTCAATGTAAATCAATAAAGAAAAAAGAGGGCTCTTGGGAGACCTCGACTCAGCCTGGAACTGAATAGCAGCATCATTCAGCAGCACATTCCATGCAACAGGGCACTGCTTGGGGGATGGATTGCTTTTTTTCCCAAGGAGATACATAATGAATGCGCAGTACAGAGGAAAAAGAAACAGAATGAAAGTGAGTTAAGCATACTCTCCTGCATGTTGAACAAGGTTTCTGTTGTCCTGTGTAACAATATTCCCCATCAGAGCAAGCCAGGTATGTGGACAGTGTTTTAATTAAGTCGACTGCTATCATGACAAATAATCACTCGTGCCGAAGTCAGAACCATGCTCTTCTCACAGCAGCTCACCTAAGAATCATTCCTTCTCGTCTCACTTTATGGTAAAATATCACCAAAACAATTGCTGCTGTTTTGTTGGTTCTGACATTTAAATTAGCCTCTTGAAAAGGCTGAAGTAAACGAGCAGCAAAGGTTGAAGAAGTAAATCTCAGCTTTTCATGGCTATGCATTCTCCACCTTGGCTTTGATCATGCTCATTGGATTGCATCAAATTCTTCACCTTACATATTCAGAACAGCTAATGGATTGGCTTGCTAGCCCTGCAACCCGAGCACACTACCATTATTGTTTTTTTCCAGCAGCCTTGACTGAAATGAATCATGTTTGCAACTGAAGCAGTAATATTGTTAGTGGGAGGTTCTGGACTTAAAAATACCTCTTTTTTTCCATGTTTATGCAGAGGTCAGTATGTTCTGACCTCCACAGGAACCTCACGTTGCTGGAAAACTAAGTTAGAAGCAGTAAAATTAAAAGATGAAACATTTTTCCTTAAGGAATCAGAAGGAAGATGGAGTGAGCTCCAGAAGATAAGCAACGCAGGCACTCAGATCCATTTGCCGTTTGATTCAGGGTCTGTAACACACAGCTATCTGAAAGCACACATGACAAGTTGTTTTTAATTAAAACCTGCATGCAAACAGGAAAATGCATATTTTAGATGTGTGCGAACCCACGGTTTTAATTTGCTTTGTTTTCTTTAAGACAGCTCACACAGTAAACACTGCCCGTGTCACTTGGGCAGAGCAACACTCCACAGCAAAGCAGAGCCCATGCAAGGCACCAGCACTTCTGCAGAAGAATTGCTTTGGCACAAGACCCCCCTGCAACCTGGGTTCCTCCCCTCCGGGCTAGCATCTAATAAAATATTATTATAATTTGAGTCATTCCACAGCCTCAGATTTTCCTGTTCCTGCAGAACACAGACACGGCATAACGGATGTTGTGGAAACTCTAGAAGGAAGCCTGGCTCCACTCATCTTGGGCTTAAAACCACCAGTAAAGTCACTCCCACAAATCCACACATTGCTAAACCTTAATTTGATCCATCAGATGTCCAAGGGCCACACATTCTTTAAGCTTTGTTTATTAGATGACACTTAAATGGACTTCTGTTCAAGGCCAGATATAACTGATATTGGAAACAGCTCAGCTTGACTCGAGTATTTGCACTGCAGCCCAGTGCTGTAAGAATTTGCAAAAGTGAAATAAAAATCAATTCGCTTTTCTGGCAAAAGGCAAATGCTAATTAGGTTGTAAAGCTAGGTTCGTCTAGTTAACGATGTCACGGCAGAAATTAATTACAGGCATTTTCAGCTTAGCTCGAGGAAGTGCAGCTAAACTGTCTGAAAGGCGACAACCAGGGCTGGATTCAGCATTATGCAGCTTAGTGAGAAACAAAAGCTAGCCATCTGGCAGGCACAAGGAGATGCCCCACACTCTGACTAGTGACCTGCAGGTGAAGGCTTCTGTATCCCATTACCAGCCCTGAGTCCCATGAGCCGTCACAGTGTATCAGTATCTTGGGAAGTCCTGGCTGCGCATCCAGCTGGTGGTGGAGATACCCAGTGACAGCCATGGGAAAGGCAGAGGCATACATACCCTCTCCAGTCCTTCCTCTTGATGTTTCTATAGTCTAACTTCCCCCACGACCTTTAAAAGAACTTAGATAGTTTTCTAATTAGGATTCAAGCTCATCAGGCGATTCCCCTCCCTGCATTCCTTTAGGAAGAGATTTAAATAGGCAATTCAAGGGCTTGTTAACAGCAGCAATGCAATGGCAAGAGCCTGGAAGAAAAAAAGGTACAGTTTAGGCTTAAAAAGAAAAAGACTTAGGTGAAATTGAAGCCAGAAATGAAACAATGCGTGGTCTCATGCAGGGGGAGGTCGCAAGCTCTATGCCAAGTGCTCTGTTGACAACTTAGATGTACTGCAATGTCCAGTTGCCATCAAGGAACCATAGGGAATCTTTTCTAGCTGGAAAAGCTCCTGCTTACAGCTACTCACCAAATGGAAAACTGGCTCTCACCCACCATCAATTCACCCAGAGCCAGAGCCCCTTTCTTTAGCCAACTGGCTGCTGCCAGCCTGGAGCCCAGCACACTGCTCAGCAAGCTGAGGACCAGCAGCAGGGCAAAACCCAGCTCTGGTTGGTCAGTGCCCTTCTGTCTCCACTCCTTAAGTCTCAATTTTATTTTGATTTTCATTAAAAGAAGAAAAATCTTCCACCATCACTAGCTGTTCAGCTAGCCATCTGTACTCAATTATTTTATCTTCTCAGTACTGCAGATTGCTCAGGCTTTTGGATTCCAAATACATAAAGCTCCAGTCACATTCTCATGTTCTTTATGGTCTGTGCAGTTTTCCAGAGGATAAATTCTCCAGCTTAATGTATTTTCTGTTACTGAAGGCATACAAGCAGATCTGAGGCTTGTCTGGAAGCACACTAGCTATGTGAAGCAAGCTCATGAATACCGTTCAAATATTTCAACATCTGAGGTTTATACAAGCATAAATTCATCACTGTGGGACTTCTTAACAACACATGCTACTAAAATAATTAAGCATTCATCTTTGCTTGATGTTTCTCATCATAGGAGGTCATCCTCAAAACCGTAACTGCAAATGACCCTGGGGAGAAACCAGACAACATCTAACAAAGTTAGCAATGGATTTATAGATAGAAGAACTTGAGCTTTGTTTCTTCCATGGCAACAAGAACTTGAGGCTTTACGAGAAGGCCTTCACGTTTAACACTGGATAAAAATGGGATAAGCTGAATACCAGCTTTACTGGGGAGAGAGAGACAAAGAAAGGCACGGCTGTGAGCAAGCCCTGTACATGGCAAGTCCGCCTGTCCACTCTACAGTCAAGTTCTACAAGGACAATTCTCACCTTCATGCCAGCCATCTGATTCCTCTGAGTCAGCTGGATTTCTTTCATTTAACTTATATATGCACCCACAGGCAAGCATCCAAATTAAACACTGCAGGAAATTCTCACTTGCAGAGGAACCTGCTTAACTTTACCAACACAGAGGGCACATCAACTTCCATACTTGAAGCCAAAGTCACCAAGACATCCCAGCTGCAGACTCCTTACTTGTGCATGTGGCCCATGAGCACAGCCAACCCCTCGTCCACACTGCGATGGGAAGGGTGTCAGCAAGGTGGGATTCAGCCACTGCTCACCCACCTCCTCAGCACAGGTCCTCCACAACAGCTCCACCTGAAAGCTGATGTCTTCTGTGCTGTTTCTTTTGGAAAGAGAACAGCTGAAGGTATTTGAGGACTGCACAGCTGTCACCTTCAGAGTAAGGAAGCAGGAGGGCAACTCCCACAAATGGGTTCTGATCTGTCAGTATAAGCCATTTAACAGCACTACCAGCCTCCTTTCTAGTGCCAGAAAGTGTGATTTGCATGAGCAGTGCAATCCCTTCATGCCCTTTTCATGCATCCTGCTTTACACCCCACACCTGGCTCACAGGTACAGGCTCCAAGGCTTCCCTCATACAATTTTCCAGAGACATTACACAGAAAAAAAAACACTTTAATTTAAACAAGTTGCCCTTAAAAAGGCACATACCTGCACTAAACACATTTGCTAGTGATTTAGAAGTCCTCTTGCACATTCTGACAGCCTCCAAGTAGTCTATTTGACAAATAACAACTAATTGAACTCCAAGCAGTGCATACCATGCCAAGGCACATCACCAGCACCCTGCACAGCTTCTTTCAGGCAGGGCTCCTGAGTCCTGTGATTGACAAGGTCTCTAATGAACTCTAATTGAGGACTCTGCAGTCTGAAAAAGCAACAACAGATGTGGTAAAAGGGCAAACCACAGATTGTTTTGCTAATGAATGAAAAGTGTCTGGTCTGATGAGGGCCAGTGACCCAAAAATCCTATTCTTTCCCCCAACCTTTTACTTCATGTTCAAGTTTGGACCCTTTGCCTAGCCAGCCTGACGCTTGGGGGCAGTAATGGACAGCCTTGAACATATTCTATACACTTTCTGGCACCAAAATGCTCTTTTTATTACAAAGCAAAGCTCTGGGTATCGAATAATAGGAACCTGAGGGAAGAAATTTAGCACAGCTAGATTTCCCAGCAGCATGACAAGCCTAGGAAATAGATGTGACTTTCTTCCTGGATTTGTTTTGAAAACACTTTGCATACAGACACGTTTAAGTCACCATCCGTGTCTTTCAACAGGTTTAAATAAGCATCAAAACAGTAGCTATGCATCATTCTGCAGATCATCTCCTATCAAAAGATGGAAAGCTGAACTGCAAACAGACCAAGGAATAACCCATACTTCCCACAGGAGAGTGAAAAAAAACAAACCAAGACTCAGGTCTCTGTTCCAAGTCTACTCCAGCATGGAAGTGCAATGAAGTAAGGAAACCAAATAGAAAGGAAGCAGAAGTCAAGGTGCCATCTTTTATAATTCTATCACAAATTTAATGAACCTGCTCATGCCTGCCATGCCTGACTTTTTACATCAAGGAGGTTATTGTCTGGTAACGGTAAAGCAAACAGAATAAAAATCATCAGCTGTAAAGGTTTGGATGAAACCTGCCAAGAAAGGTCAAAAAACTATTTGCTAGAGGCTGGCCCATGATGTTTTTGGAACTCCTACAAGGTGGCAGTGCATATACTGCTCTTATCTAAATACTGCAGGCTTCTGTCTTGTGGAGGTCAGGCTCAGAGTGGGCTGCAGAAGAGGTTTACAGATTATAAATACAGATTATAAATAAATCACACTGGTTTTAATACGTTATGTCATCTCCACCCCACAGAAGGGACTGCAGGAACCAGCGAGGGAATCATACAACCCCTCCTCATAAGCATGTTTCAAACTGGTCTGTTTCATGTTACACTTTCAATATGAAAAGAAGCCCCCAGAGCGTGCTGCTGATGGAAAGCATGTAGAACACTAATGAGCACCATCCAAAAGTAATTCCAACATTGAGAGGTAACTAGCAATTTTCTGAGTCATTAGAAAAACCTCATACCAATTACACAGCCAGGCTTACCATAGGCTCTCCAAACAACTCATCGTTCTGGATGGTGCTCAGAGTTGCTCAAACCTTGATATCCACTCATTCCTCCAACATTTCATCAGAAAACCTACTGTATCGTACCAGATCAAACCAGGATTTAGTTATTGTGTCCCACCTCCAGCAACAGCCACAAGAATGATGCCTTAAGCTGCCAAGAGTTTTGGTGGCACAGATGTGGACAATTACTAAATGGTTTCAAGAAAGAGAAATAATCCCTTCCTGGAGGGAATGATTTATTTCCCTGACCCACAGAGCTTTCTTACCTACACCTTGGCTTATGGAACCAAATGCAGTATTTAAATAGAGTTTGATCAACTCCAGTCAGCCAGAGCTTTTTCACTGTAGGACTCCTCCCAAGTTCACCAACACCAGCTGCAACACCACTTAGGAACAGACTTCTCAGCTACATTTTTCCCTGTTAAGCAGCCACTCTTCTGCACACAAAGATGGCAAACAGCTTGGATGCAACTGAAGCAGTTTAATTAAGAGGTATCAGTTCAAGTGGATGCTATATGCAGAACCACCAGGTTTTTAAAGTGGCTGACAAATCTTGTCTGAGAGTCATGCGTAAGATTCAGCTCCACCAAAGGAAAGGGCTGCAATTCCCACAGGAAGATAGGAGAAAAGTTTTAATTCAAAGGTCTTACAGCTCCGTTCCAAATTCAATATCCCTGTCTACAAAACTCTGGAAGCTGAGGTCAGAAAACTGTTAAGCATAAATCACATTCAGAATGGACAGTGGAAAAACATTTTCCCAGCTTCCTCTACAGTTGGTTCTATACAGATTACATTTGCATTTAGTAATACTTTAACCTGCTCTAGAGGCAACTGTGGCACACAGTTTTCAGGGACAGTTGACATTAACAAGCCCATTAAAAACCCAAATGCATAGCATATCACTTCACAGAATGCACAACTTAACCTTATGCAACTGAGAATGGGAATCCATGTACTGTGTAAGACTTACACTTACTAAGACTTACTAAGTTACTTTGCCACCAATTTATGGAAGGATAACGAATGTTGCATGGGCAAGCAGAAAACAGGTATCAGCACAAGGTAGTTGGCAAGGGTTCTTTCTTGGATACTCACTGGACTGCAGAATACCTGGTATGTCATAATGTATAAATAGATCTGGGCATTCTCCAGAACTGCAGTGCTCTAACCCTGCAATATTTTGTTGCAGTAAGGCCTCCAAAGCACGTGTCACTGCTGCATCTATGGTAAAAGTCCTGTGTCAAACTGCAGACTGGAAAGTAGCTCATCTGGAGAGAACACTCAGCGTGAGGACATGCACCCGACTTGCATGAACTCTTCAGTTATGTGGAATAAAAAGCAGCCTTCAAGCTGCTGATGACAACTCCATCGAGAAAGGTGCTGATGATCCTTTACCCAAAAGCATCTCCATGCACTCACAGCAGTACCTGCTGGTCTGCCCAGAACAAACACCTGGATTCCTGGCGTTCTGTGGGCAGTTCCTCAACCATTTCGAAACAGGAGGAGAGAACTGCAGATCACCATACCTGGGAGATGCCTCAGGAAATGTTCTTACATACCAGATCCGTCACACCCAGGACTCAGACATTATTTGGTTGGAGCATGCAGTACTCACCAAGTCAATGAGGTCACTGAGATTCTTCTCTATCTGCTGTGGAGGCAGACGCCTCATCAAATCCAAGGCACAATCCAGCTGCTGGTCACTCTGCAGAAACAAAAACATCCCTCTGTCACAGTATGCACAGATAAGCACAAAGTCAGGTGAACTGGAACTGTGGTGCTTGTCAACCCTCCCAATGGGGAGAAATAGAGCAATTCTAATCTGCAGAATGTTTTACATCAAAACACTTTGATAAACCACCGTTTGGAACCATTTGATCACTGATTATTCACATGGTATTGCAAGAAGGGTTCTAGAGCCCAGTTCAAAGGGCCCAGTTTAAGCTGGTGCCACGCCAGCAATTTAACACCAAGCAGTCCAGTCCTCGCCAAAAACTGTCTCCTACACTTAAGGAAACACTCAATGCAATGTTTTTCCATGCTATCTCAACATTAATCTGGGTTAGGGAACTGAAAGTTCCTTCTCCTGAAACAATCTGAGCACTTCCTCATTCATGTTGTGTCATTCAGCTCAAGACAATCAGTACCCAAGGCAAATTCTGTTCCGACAGATCTCACCCCCCCTCCTTCAGCTTTACCAAAAAACAAAGTGAAACATGCACAAAGTATGATCCATTATTTCCTTCTTATTCCAAAAAACAAACCAAAAGCTGCCTGTATCTAAGGAATCAACAGCTTTAATTCTCCTGACAAACCACAGCAATACGCTCCAGTGGGGTTTATTACAGTTGGCCTCTCAATAAATTCCACACGGAAAAAGATAAAAGCTTAAGAATCATTTCAGAGTTGGAAAATCTGCAACAGACATATCACAGGCACTCAGTGAGCAGAACCAAGCTCCCAGCACAACCTTTTGCTCTTCTTCTTCTCACCAAAGGCAAGTGTCACTTCCCTGCAAACCCAACAGCACATTCCTTTCATCAGCACATCGCCATCCTGAAGCACAGTAAGCTTATTTTCACTGCTTCTTCCCCTCCCCTTTTGTTTCTCTACTTCTAGACAACCATACACAACAAGCTTAATAATTTTCTCCTCCTACATTCAACCAAGCTCTAAGATGTACTTAAAGGCTTCGAAACTGAAGCAGCTGCATTGCCACGAGATTCAAGTAGCAGCCCCCATGCTGAGGAGAACTAGTAGGAAGTCAAGCTTCATGAAAATAGATCTAAAAAGGCATTGCCCATTCATTATCAAAAGGTAAATATCGCATGGACAGCAAGTCAGACCAGTTTGGGGAGATTGTGTAGTTATTTCTTAGGTTACTGGGCATCACCTTTGGAAAAACACCCCAGCTCTACAGGCAGGTAGGCATCAACTCACCTCTCTGCACAGACAGCACAAGTTACAGCAGTCACCTGCTGTGATCAAAGGAGAATGCATTCCCTAATCAGGGGTGCATTCAATCCCCACACTCTTTAAGCGCTTGGGTAATGTGACAAGCAAATCCTCAGAAGAAATGAGCCTGGAGAGAAGAACCAACAGGCAGAGAAACCCACAGCCCTGGTGCTGCTGTTCTCCATTAGCTGTCCATTGCAGGTCACAAACTCAAGAATAGAAGCTCCTCCAAATACTGCTTATGAGCACAGTCGCTCCTTTCCTCTTATTTCCACACCGAGAACAGTCCTCCTCCCAGGAGGGGCCAAATGTTTCACATCAGCTGAAGATGAAACACCAATCCAGGCATGAGCTGGGGAATAAACCATGGGCATCATGAGAAACTAAGGCACAAAAATCCCAGCTCCCCAGTGACAGCAACATCTCGCGTCCTTCTCCAAATAGAGGGAAAGGAAAACTCACTTCTTGCAACCACCCCTCAGGCATTACTGAGGTGGGCTACGAGCACCCCTCTGCAACAGCCAAGCCCAGGCAGGGGATCTATCACATCAAGTATTATCTTTACCTCCTGCTATCCCTTACGTCACAGGAGAGCTGGTATGTGGTTGCAAGGTCATGCTCCGTGCTTGGGGATCGTGGGAACGCTCATGGAAGTGCTCTCTCCTGCTCTGCCAGCTGGAATTGTTTGACAGACAAAAAACTAAGGAAATAATCATGTTAAAAACCCACTACTAAAGTGCAACCTCAGAGAAGGTGTTTTATAGTATGGCAGTTTCAAAATAAACTGCACTGAGTGAAGGATTATCTTCTGCAGTTGCAGAATCCTTTTATGGATAACCAGAAGAACTTGTACTGACATTTTTATAACAGTATATTCATTAACAGCTGTGAAAATACACGAGCAAGACTGCTTAAGGCAGAGATTCTTAAAGGCATTCAGCCACAGCTGGCACAAGCGGCTGCATGCAACCAAGAAAAGCTCAAAAACATCCAGGCATACACTGAGAAGCATCTCTTTCCCTGAAGGAGAAGCAAGGCTGAACAGCAGGATTCCAGCCTTCCTGCAGAGTATTTAAATAATATTTAAATGGCTTGCCTGCACATCCCTTAAAGCACTGAAATAAAGGCAGGTTCTGATGCATCTCTACGCCTAAGGCTGTGGCTATATGGTGACTTTAACCCAGCACAAATCCATGCTGGCCCAAACAAGAAGGTAATACAAAGCACACACAGCAGCACAGCCGTATGTCTGGGTGCTGCATGCACTCATTATGCCCTTTTTCAGAAGAGAATGAGTAATTCTACCAGGAGCAAACGCTTCTGGCTCTTTCTGTGCTGGGGAAGCAAGGTTTCTAGGAACCAGGCCTGTGGTCACACACATCCTTTGCTTCCAATCTCTGCCCCAGCTGGGTATGTATGGAATAACTGTAGATATTTGAGAGGCATCACATCTAAGGTGCTAAGCCCAGCAGCACACATTTCCTGATGTTACAGAAGAACAAACATGTTTTTCTGTGATTCTGACAGTGGCATTTTAATAGGAAATCCCACAAAACTCTTACACCAATTGTGCAGGAGAAAGGTGCTCTTTGGGAACTCAGAATACACCTCACCTCATTACAACAACTGAGCCCATCCATCTCTCCACTCTAACTTCACTTCTAGATCTCCACTTGCTTAAGGCTGTCATTAAATTGCATACTGAAGACAATTCCTTCACAGACCTCTAGACAAAACACTGCAGAATTCCTGCCTTTAGCCATGGAGAGGCTTATCCCCCAGCCTGGTGAGGTGATCAGACAGCCCTCTCTCAGCCTGGACTCGAAGCCAAGCACTTTGAGGCTGCAGGACTTAATGAGCTTAGTGTTTACTTGATACCAGCCTGCTTTCCCCCATCCCACTGTTATATCCAGCACAGAACTCCTGTGGAGGAGTAGGGAGCTCAGACAGAAATTCTAAATGAAGTTTTATTACAGCTCGAGTCACTGAAGGATTTCAAAGATCACAGGAATCTCAAAGACTGAAAATATTAGTCAAGATGAAAGCTCTTCTTAATAAGTTTCCTCTAAGATATCTGGCTATCTCCACTCTGCTATGCTGCTCCCATCTACCGCAGGGCAAAATGCTATGAATATGTCTATAGGAATGGTTGTTTAGCTTCCTCTGCCTGCATTCTGCTCTTCTCTGCAGTCTCTAGCAAATAAGCCAAGCACAGCAAAGACAGAAACACTCTCAAAACAGCCACAAATCATCTCAGCACAGCACTGAATCTGGAAAAAAACCAAGTTATCTAAGAGCATAGTTGCACAGAGGTACGGCTGTGTACGTGTTTATTTATTCTGTTCATACAGGAGTAAGCAGCTGTGTTAGAAGGCTGAGGATGGACAGATGTCCTTCAGTGCAGAAGCCACAAAGAAGTCAGGAAGCTACTGCAGTGTGTTTGATTGTTTTGAGGAGGGTTTGTTGATCGTGTGGTAAACTATTACGTTTCCATGTTCCAGTGCCTGAAAGAGGGCATATTAAGGTCACTGTTATTTAAGAGCAAGGGACTCCTCTGACCTTACACGTGTAGGCAGCCAGCATGAAAGTGGATGTAAGCTGCACAGAGTGAGGAAGTCACTACCAATATTTACAGAAATTCATAGGCTGCTTTCCCAGGTTTTCCCATCTCTCCATTGCCAGCTACCCACACTCCAAGCTCTCCAAGGCTCATTTCAAAGGCTGACCACCACAAATCACAACACTGCAGACTGAATTCTTTGGCCCCCACAGCTGTGTCTGGACGGCTCCTGCTCATTTGCCTGCGTTGCTGCTGAGCACAAACAGAATTCAGCGTTTTCTTCAAAAAGAAAAACCAGACTGGTTTCACTTCTGTGTCGTGTTTCTATCTGAGCACTGCCTTGAGCTCACTCTTGAACCAAGAGAGACCGGCTGGGGCAGCCAAGTGCTGCTGCACTGGGCACTTCTCCCTATTTCAGCCTGTTCTGGGAAATAAGCCACTTGGGGCAGCAAATCTTTCCAACCAGAACCCAGCAGAACACCCATCCACACCAGGTCTGGCTGCGCCGCTCTGACCCACGCCATCTCCAGTCTCTGATGCAAGTTGAGAAGAACTAGATGACCTAAAAACGACTTCACGAGTTATGATTAAGGCGTAAAAAAGAAACCACACCACATGTGAAAACAGCCATTATTTGTGCAGTGCTGCCCATGTTTACCAGTTGAACACTCTGGCTTGGCTCTGAAATGGCACGGCTGCCAGGCCCCTGGTGATGACCTGGGGTCTGCAAGCTGCTCGTACTCAGATTTGTTCCAGCCTGGAATGTGAAAAGTTACCAAACTTCAAGCACAAGCTGGCATCTCAATTTCCAGAGAACTGAAATAAAAGATGAAAACCCAAAGGGACACCGAAAATAGAATATTTGCTTAACTTAGGCAATTTGAAGCAATCACACATCAGAGTGCTTTGATCGCTGGTCAGCTTACAAGCAAAATACCTCCGTAAATTAATCCAGGACCAGAAGTACGCAACCAGCAAATGACTTTTTCTCTTCCTTTTATGTTGCAGACATACCCCAGATTGTAAATCATATTATTTCCTGCCAGTTCTCCCAACAGGAATGTCTGACTAATGTTTCAGCTTTGTGGCACTAAACACTAAATTTCTTTAATTGAAACAGATACGTGGCTTCCCATCCTCCTCGTCATTTTCCTCCTTGCCAACTTCCCGAGCTCAAAAGGCAGAAGCCT